TGCTGTCGGCTGGCCAGCTGAAGGAGAACGGTGTGAGGCTGCAGGAGGATGGCGACGAGATGCTTCTCGTCTCGGCGGCAGGGGACGTCCTTGGCAGGGCGTCCTATACTGGCCGGGTCCTCTGCACCGACCTGCGTCCCTGCTCGGCGAAGTCGACGTCGCCCATGACGGGTGTGGTGGCTCTGAGGGCGATAGTCTCGGCGACGACGTCGACCCCGGACAGACTACATGCAAGGCTTGCTCACGTCGCCATGGACACCATCCGGAGCTCGGCCAAGCACGAGGTCGCCATTGGGCTGGACCTCAAGTCGACGCCTGGCACTGACTCACCGTGTGTCTCGTGCGTCGGCGGGAAGCTGGCACGTCACACCTTCCCCGACCAAGGCTCCGACGCCGACGACGTGCTGGCAGTCGTGCACATCGACCTCTGTGGGCCGTTCCGCGTAGCTGCCAAGGACGGCAGCCTTTACTTCTTGCTGCTCAAGGACCGCAAGACCCGCTACGTGTGGGTGAGGCCGGTCGCCAAGAAGTCGGATGCGCTGCAGGAGTTCGTGCAGTGGCTGGCAGTTGCTGAGCGACAGACGAAGAAGTCGGTGTTGATGCTGCGCTCTGACCGGGGAGGGGAGTTCCTCGGGAAGCAGTTCACCGACTTTGTGGACGGCAAGGGGATAGTCCACGACCTGACCTGCCCGTACACCCCGCAGCAGAACGGCATGGCCGAGCAGGAGATGAGGACGGTCGTGGAGTCGGTGCGGACGATGCTGCTGCACATGGGCGTGCAGCACCACTGGTGGCACCTTGCTCTACGACAGGCCGTCTGGGTCCGCAACTGCCTGGAGAGGTTGACGTTGCCGCCGGGGACGACGCCATACCAGCTGCTGACCGGGAAGAAGCCCGACTTGTCGCTGGCACGGGTGTAGGGCTGCATGGCGCAGTTCTTGGTCCCCGAGCAGCAGCGTGGTGGAAAGTTGAAGCCGAAGGCCAGATGGGGCCTTCACCTCGGCGTGTCGGAGGAGAGCAAGGGCTGGGAGCTCCTCGACATCGCCGACAACCGGGTGGTCACTACGTCGGACGTGGTGTTCTACGAAAACATGTCGTTGGAGGTGTGGAAGTCGGAGCACGGGCCGGCGTCAGGACGGACGTCGACCATCTTGCCGACGGACACCTTGACGGCGACGCTGCCTCAGCTTGCCGAGGTCGGTGAGCTTGCTGATGAGGACGCCGAGGTCGTCCGTCCTCCTTCCCCTCCCCCTGCACACCCTGCCCCTCCCCTCGTGGCCGACCTGCGTGGGCTGACTCCGTTGTCGGCCTCCGGCGATGAGGGGAGCAGTGGGGCGTCGCCTGTAGCGCCGGCCAAGAGCATCGCCGGTGGCCGATGTGACGTTCTGCAAGTCGACAAGAGAGGGAAGTCGATGCCAGCAGGAGAGGAGCAGGCCGAGGTAAAGCGACGGTGGTGAAGTCTGCGAAGGGGGCAGCGGCAAGGCACCAACGGACAGGGGAGCAGGCAGCAGCCAAGTCGACCAAGGAGCAGTCGACGACAGGGCAGTCGGCAGGAGAGCCGACCACAGGGGAGAAGTCGGCAGGGACGCCGGCTATGGTGCACCAGGATGCTGAGGGCGGTGATGCCGGCGAAGAGGAAACCGAGCAGGCGGACGCCGAGGAGTCCACCGACAGCAACGTGGTGGAAGTCAGACCACGGAAGACAGGCCGACTTCGGAGGCCGCCTGACTTCTTCGTCCCGGCTGCCTTCACCACGGTGTACGACGAGGTCGACGACGACCTGTTGTACGACGACGCCGAGGAGGACGACGACTTGCCAGAGCTCGACCCCGACATGCACGCCGACCCCGAGCACCGCTGGGACATCTCGACGATGACGGTGAAGGAGGCCTTGGCAAGCTGGAAGGGCAAGGCGGTGAATGCCGCCATGGAGGAGGAAATCCGCAGCCTCATCAGCATGGGAACTTGGGAGCTGGTCGAACGCCCACCTGGGGTGAACATCATGAAGAACCGGTGGGTGCTGACGATGAAGTACCGCATCGACGACACCGTCGAGCGCGAGAAGGCGAGGCTGGTCGTGAAGGGCTTCACACAGGTGTGTGGTGCCGACTACGACGAGACGTACGCGCCGGTGAGCAGCTATGTCACGCTGAGGATCTTCCTCAGCATCGTCGTCGTGCTCAACCTCAACCTGATGCAGCTCGACATGAAGAACGCCTTCCTGCAAATCAAGCTCGACCGGGTGCTCTGCATGTACCAGCCGGACCACTTCAGTGACGGGACCGGCCGGGTGTGTAAGCTGCTGAAGAGCCTGTACGGGCTGAAGCAGTCGCCGCTGCTGTGGTACAAGGCGCTCAACGATGTTCTGGTCGGCGCCGGGTGGAAGAAGAGCCAGGTCGACGAGGCTCTGTACTTCAAGGTCGACAAGGTGGCCTGCTGGGTGCTGGTCTACGTCGACGACCTTCTCGCCGCCAGCAGCAGTGCCAAGATGCTGAAGGAGCTGAAGGAGCTGCTGCCGCCTTCGAGCTGCGGGAGATCTTGCCGGTGCAGAAGTACCTCGGGCTGGAGATCGTGCGCGACAGGTCGGCGAGGAAGCTGTGGCTCCACCAGCAGGGCTATGCAGACAAGTTTCGTAGGCGTTTTCTCGACAAGGAGCAGACTGGGCGCACCCCGAAGACGCCGGTCTCGGTCGACGCCTATGCTGAGCTCACCTTCGACGACGAAGAGGCACAGGAGCGCCAGGAGGAGGAGTACCGGCAGAAGGTCGGCTCGCTGCAGTTTGCGGCGACAACAACAAGGCCGGACATCGCCTTTGCCTGCAGCAAGCTGGGGAGCGGCCTCACGGTGAGGAGCGACCAGCACTGGCGCGAGGTCGACCGCTGCCTCGCCTACCTCGCCAACACCCGTGACATCGCCCTGGAGTTTGGTGGTGGACTAGAGTCGCTGAAGCTGGTCGGCTACGTGGACGCTGACGACGCCGGCGACAAGCAGAACCGGACGAGCACGGGCGGCTACGTGTTCGTCTACGGAGGGGCCGCAGTCTCCTGGTCGAGCCAGCGCATCAAGTGCGCGACACTGTCGTCGACCGAGTCGGAATATGTGGCGGCAACAGAAGCCGGCAAGGAGGGACGTCGACTTCGTTTTCTTCTTGCAGAATTCCGGCAGCTGGACGCCGGGACGCCGACTGTCCTTCGGGTGGACAACAAGTCGGCCATCACAGTCGCCGAGGGCATGGGGTTGACGGGCAACCTCAAGCACATGGAACGGTGACAAGCCTGGCTGCAGCACATGGTGAAGCGTGGGAAGTTCTCACTGAGGTACATCCCGACCGCTGAGCAGCCAGCCGACTTCTTGACGAAGGCGCTGCACTACCCGGCCTTCAACCGGTGCTCCGTTGCAATCGGCCAAGTGCGCCTGGTCGACGTGGGCGACGGTGACAACGACGTGCAGCAGTAGGTGCCATGCCCTCTTGCATGGCTGGTGCGGTGACCGGTGTGCTGTGTGTTGGGTGCACGCCGACGGGCTATTCTCCGAGTGGTGTTGCCGTGTGGGCTGGGGGCCCAAGCGTGAACGCGGCAGGGGAGTGTTAACGGGAGTTGTGGTTGGCCCCGTCCTCGCTTGGGCGGAGCCGTCTTCGTAGTCGGGTGTGCGGGGAGCGCAGCCGATCAGTAGTTGCAGTGAGGGCGCTCAGCTGGAGGGCGCCGAGCAGGAGGACGCCGTCATGGGCGCCTGGACGGCGTCCTGGGAGGCTGGACGCCGACCTGGGCGTTTGGACGGCGTCCTGGGCGCCTGGACGCCGACCTGGGCGCCAGGACGGCGTCCTGGGAGGCTGGACACCGACCTGGGCGTCTGGACGGCGTCCTGGGCGCCTGGACGACGACCTGCGCGCCTGGACGGCGTCCAGGGAGGCTGGACGTCGACCTGGGCCCCTGGACGCCGACCTGGGCGCCTGGACGGCGTCCTGGGAGGCTGGACGCCGACCTGGGCGTCTGGACGGCGTTCTGGGCGCCTGGACGCCGACCTGGGCGCCTGGACGGCGTCCAGGGAGGCTGGATGCCGACCTGGGCGCCTGGACGCCGACCTGGGTGTCTGCACGGCGTCTTGGGCACCCAGACGCCGACCTAGGCGCCTGAACGTCGACCTGGGTGCTGGGACACTTCATCAGGGGAAGCCGACTTAGTGTAGTCGGCTGACAGGTGTGCTGGTCGACCTGGAGTTGGTCGACCAGGAGGGTTGTCGACCTGGAGCTGGTCGACCAAGGTTGTGGTCGACCTGGTGAGGTCGACTGAAGGTGGTCGTCGACTTGGGAGGTCGACGGGCACAAGAGGAAGCAGACGGTCGACATGGTGGTTGCCTGGTCGACCAGGTTACCTGGGTGACGAGGTTCTGCGAAGGAGTGCGACTGTCGCCCAGGTGGTAGTGGCGAGACCGACCTCGGTGGTGGTATCCCGAGGTCGACATGGCTGGTGGGCGCAGTCGCTGACGTGGAGTCGAGCTGGGCGTCTGCGCTGTGCACGTGACAAAGGAAAGTGCACCAACCAGCTTCACGCACCTGCGAAGCAGGTGCACCGTTGTCCTGTGAGTGCAACGCTGTGCAGCCGACTTGCTGCAGCGTTGGCACACCATGGACTTGCAATATTGGCAAGCCGCGACTTTGCTCTGCTGGAGCGCGGTCGACCAAGTCGTGCTGGCACGCGGTCGACCATGCTGCGCTGGAAGTCGACCAGCAGCTTTGCTAGGTCTGATGTAGTCTTGCATGCCAATGTTGTTGCTATCATTCTGAACTATTGTTCTCAACCTTTGCTAGTGAAACTCTTGCCAACTTCCCCCGTGAACCAGCAAGTAGTGCAAGCACAAGCAAACGACTAAGGAACGAACGAACGCAGAGATCCCTCCTACCCCGTGCCTAGCCCGTAGTCTAGTTCCCGTTGATAGAGTTATCTCCACAGTGGCCGCATCTCGACCTCGTTCCTTGCGCCACGCACGTGATGGACTTGCTGATGGAGGGCATCGGCAAGATGGACTGGGCGCAGGTGATCGTGACTCAGGCCGACAATATCATCAACTACGTGCACGGGCACCAGTGGACGCACGCATTCCTGCGGCCCCCGGAGCTGCACGGCGAGCAGAAATCGCTGCAGGCCCTCCGCCCGGCAGGCACGCGCTTTGGAACGCAGTACATCGCAGTGTCTCGTCTGCGCGACATTCGCCCCCAGCTGCAGGCGATGGTGGCGCACAAGGACTGGGCGGAGAAGGGGGGGAACACGCTGACGGGATCGGATTTCGAAGGGTGGGTGAGCGACCCAGTGTGGTGGAAGAAGGTGGACTTCTTTGTGCAGCTGATGGAGGTGTTCTACATCGTGATGCGGAGGACGGATTCAGCGGCGAAGGGGATGATGGGTCAGCTTTACGACATCATGCTGCAGCTGACGGGGGAGTTGGATAAGCTGCTGGATGGGAGGGAGTGCAAGCTGAACAGGGTGGATAAGGAGAAGGTGAGGGAGCATTTGAGGAGGCGTTGGGACGAGAGCTTGGCATGCCCCCTCCACGTGGCAGGCCGGATCTTGAACCCGGCCAACCAGGACGAGGGGATCTTTCTGCAGGATCCTGAGTGCACCAAGGTCATGCAGGAGTGGCTGGAGCGCCAGCAGGTCTTCGTAGACACATACTGGGGGAAGGCCCGCGGCAAGAAGGGACCGGTGCGGCCGCTACACGAGGGGGTGACGGCCTACATCAACGGCGAAGGGAAACTCGGCTCTGATACTGCGATCGAGGGGCGTAAGGCGATTCAGCTGGGGAAGGGGAACGTGATGCTGTGGTGGCAGTACAATGGATGGGAGTACCTTGACCTGGCGCGTCTTGCGCGTCGCACGCTTTCCCAGACCGTTTCCGCTTCCCCGTGCGAGCGCAACTGGTCTACTTGGGATGGCGTGCATACGGCGCGCAGGAACCGGCTCGGGTCGGAGAAGGTCCGCGACCTTGTGCGCGGCTTCCACAAGGGTGCGGATGACGCAGGGCCTAGTGTGGTGGGAAGGAAGGGGGGGGTGTTGGAGGGGAACATTACCCCCCCTCCCCTCCCCGAGGGGTACAAATTGGAGGAGGATGGGGAGGTGGAGGCGGACGAGAACGATGTGGAGGAGGAGGAGGAGGAGGAGGAGGAGGAGGAGGAGAGGTAGGAGGAGGAGAGGTAGGAAGGAGGAGGCCTGGTGATTGTATGGATGTAGTAGTAGCTATTTACTTCGTGTTTGCGCTAGATGCGTCTTCCGTCACATAGCTTCCCACACCCCCTTCCTGTTGAGTGCAATACATGGTTTGCACGACAACCTACCACCTATTCGTTGACGTTGAGTGAAAGTGAGGTGTTTGTTCTGAATGTAATTTGTTGTGTGCGAGTTGCGCTTTTTCGTGACCTGCGTTTGTGTGTTTACGCTTCATGAATCGCCTCAACGGTTCATGAGTTGTGTGCGTTTTCGTGAAAGGTTGTGTTCATGAGAGTTCGTTAATGTCTGTGAGCGATTGCGAGACTTCGTGTGCGTTTGCGCTGTCTCGCGAATTGTCATGAGTGTTCGTTGATTTTATGTTCGTGAATTTCTGTGTTCGTGAATTTCCATGAGGTTCGTGCGTTCTTCATGAATGTTTGTGAGCGTTCGTGTTTGCTCTTGTTTTTCTGTTTTCGTTTGTGTTCGTGAAGAGTCGCGAGTGTTCGCGAGATAATTTCGTGGTGGTCAAGGTCAAAGTCGCGAGAAACTTGACCGCGCGTGTGGTCCTGATTGCGCGTGTGTGGGCCCTCAGGCCCGAGCGTGTGCCTCGCACTGTTGCGAGCGTGGCAGGGCCCACGATCGCAATAGGACAGGGCGAATGATCACCCTGCCCACGCGCAGGACAGCGCACGTCAGTGCACTGTACAGCACGACCGACATATCGGTCGTGCATGATTGGAGTCGTGGGGGTGCTCGGGATTACGGTTGAAAAACCGAATCCCGCGTTGACTCGGCTTACAGGTAATTTCGCGAGAAATATCGCGCGCGTAAAAGGACAATTTCGATACAGGGGAAAAAACGGTGAAATCCGTTTTCCAACTGTAAACGTTCGTGAAAACGGTAATCCCACACGAGTCTTCATAATTAGTCATCCGAGTTCGTGAATGTTCGTGAGAGGAGTCAGCAGGGGAATTTGGCAGACATGAAATTTGAAGACAGTTATTCTACAGGGGAGAACCAAGCCAAATTCCGAAGCAGTTCGACAACCGTTTTCCTTGGCGCGTCTAGCGAAGTCCTGAAGTCTAGTTAAACAACTGCTTTGTGTCTCCTTTGTGTGTGCGTATGTTTTGATATAAATTGTGTGCTTGTGCGAAGTTGTAATCAATCCTTTGAGTGAATATTTTATCTATCAACGTATTGACGTGAAGAGATGTTTCTGCAGACGACCAGTTCGTCGTCATAACGCTGCGCAAGGAGTTTTGGGAGTGCTCAATTGCACACGATTGCTTTTACACTTGGTGTGTCCCTCTACAAGCACGGACCCTTGGTTAGAGGCTGGCTTTGCCAGGCATCCGAGGACCCTTGGAGGTGACCCCGTGGAGACTACTAAGTGTGGATTAAAGGTGTGCATTGAGCTTCTAGATCCCAATAGTTGTCAACACTTCCCACCTGGTGTGTCGCGCAGGCAGTGCTGATCCGTGTGGGTCACGCTCCTTCCAGTACAGCATCCAAGGCCCCGCCTTCAACCCATGTGGCCGGTTCAACTGCAGTAAGAAGGGCACCAGCAATCGCTGCAAGTGCACGGACGCCCGCTTTGCTCAAGTCAAGAACACCGATGGGTCGTACACCTGTGCCTATGGTAACATTCACCACAGAGGGTCACTGGTAAAGTGTACATGTGCACTGAGTGATTCCGGAAGTTTTGGACTAGTGCATCGAGTGAAGTTGCGCTTGAGAAGGTATTCAGTTCAGCATGTCGCTGGGCTCTTCTATTTCGGAAAGCACATCCCCGCTTGCTTGACTTCAACCTGCTCCTGGCCATTACCCGTGCTCGTTCTTACTCGTTGATGCTTGCTCACTTACCTCCTTCCACGCCCACAGCATACACCCCCCCTACACACCCTCATGCCATCCGTCCATGCTCATGTATGCTTCCACGCCGGCCCCATTCTTCTTCTCTCGCCCCCAGTGGACGTGTGTGGGTCCAGCACTCGCAACCCGTGTGTGGTGGGCACGTGTGTGAACGATGGCAAGGGCAGCTACTCCTGTGTGTGTCCCCCAGGGTTCATTCAAGGCACCACCCTTGCCAACACCGCCTCCTGTGCTCCGGGTAACACAACTCTGCCGCTACCTCCTCCTCTTTACAACTTATTTTTTATGTCGATGACCTTCAGACAAGCTGCCATCCGTTTGAAACCATGCATGCTCGTGCACTGTGTAACCCTGAGTCGATTGCTTTGTGTGGTTTTCCCTGTACTTCTTGGTTTCACCTTTGATTCTTGAGATGACAGTCTCTTTTTTATTTTGAATCTAACTTGTACTTTTTGAGTTCATGATGTTGTGATTCATAAGGATTGGAGGTCCAGTGCAACTAAAGTTGATGGGATAAAATCGTAAATAATAGTCCAACATCCTGATTTTGCCAATGAGGCTGTATCAGCCACAATGGTGTGAACAAGTTCTGTGTCGTTAAATGGAGTAGCACTGGCATGTGGTGGAAGCATGCAGTGCAACCCCATTTGTGAAGCCCACCACTTGGTGATCTCCACTCCACTGATGAAAGCACATGAGTTCTTCCCTTGCTGCGCAGTAGACTCATTATCAGTCGTTTCAATTTGTGTTCGTGGTGCAGGGGATGCAGGGGGGGTGTACACGGTGCGGCAGAGCAACGTGTGGTGCTCCCATGTGCATCCCATATTCGCCCTCACACTGGACCAGTTCCTGCAGCAGAACAAGGTACCCTCCGCCTGCTGCAGATGCTTGAGTTTGAGAGTACCATGTAAGGATCTGTGAGCTGATGACATTGGTTCATCATGTGCCATCATCCCATGCATGTGCCATCATCCCATGCATGTGCCATCATCCCCTGCATGTGCCATCATCCCATGCATGTGCCATCATCCCCTGCATGTGCCATCATCCCATGCATGTGCCATCATCCCATGCATGTGCCATCATCCCATGCATGTGCCATCATCCCCTGCATGTGCCATCATCCCATGCATGTGCCATCATCCCCTGCATGTGCCATCATCCCATGCATGTGCCATCATCCCATGCATGTGCCATCATCCCATGCATGTGCCATCATCCCCTGCATGTGCCATCATCCCATGCATGTGCCATCATCCCATGCATGTGCCATCATCCCCTGCATGTGCCATCATCCCATGCATGTGCCATCATCCCATGCATGTGCCATCATCCCCTGCATGTGCCATCATCCCATGCATGTGCCATCATCCCATGCATGTGCCATCATCCCATGCATGTGCCATCATCCCATGCATGTGCCATCATCCCCTGCATGTGCCATCATCCCATGCATGTGCCATCATCCCATGCATGTGCCATCATCCCATGCATGTGCCACCATCCTCTGCTTGTGTCGCAGGGCATCTCATGCTCCGCTCCTCTGCGCATCAACTCAAGCCTCCTGGTCAACTCCACAGTCGATGCATGCTCTGTCTTCTACACCACTGTGCTGGTGAGTCCATAACGACTCTGTATCAATATCTCAGTGCACCACTATGTTCAAGTCTCCTCCCATTGTCGTTCCACTGGTCCAAACAACACCCTCCTGCCACTCCCCTCTCCTCCGTCCCCCCCCCCCCCTCTCCCCCCCCTTGTCCCACCTGATCCCCCAGGGCGACACGTGTGCGGGGGTGGGGCGGCAGGTGGAGCTGTGTGGGGCGGCGGCGGCGGATGCGGAGTGTGAGGCGGCATTTCAGGCGCTCAACCCCGCTGTGGACTGCTCCTCCCTGAGGCCCTCCCAGGCCGTGTGCATGGAGAGGGACCCCGGGGTGGCGAATGTGACAGTGGTGTGCGACCAGTACTACCGGGCGCGCCTCAACGACACGTGCGACAGCATCAGGCAGCTGGCCCAGCCTCCTCTCAGCCCCGTGGACTTCTACCGCCTCAACCCCGGCGTCAACTGCAACCAGCTCATCCCCCTCAAGAACAACTCCCGCTCCGCCACCACCTTTGGTGCTGAGGTGAGGTGCAGGTGTCTTGGTGCTTGCAGTGTGGTGCACGCCGTTTGGTGATTGCAACGTATTGAACACAATGCCGTGCTTCACATTTTATGCTGCAGATGCAATGCGTTATGCCCTCGCGTCCCCTTGTGTCCACCACTAGCCTCACTCTACCATCTGCACTTTCTTCCCTATGCCTGCAGGTGTGCATTGGCAGTGTCACCAACTTCACAGCTGGTATCTGTTCGAGGACCAGCACCTACACCATCTCACCTGGGGATGACTGCAAATACATTGAATTAAAGTATTTCTACAGTATCAAAGGTTGTTACCGGAGAATGAATGGGTACGAGTGTGTAAAGTTGAAACCTGGGGTTAGAATCTGCACACCGAATATGAAAAAGGCTCGAACAGGAAACTGTAGCATTTGAGAAGACTCGAAATAAATTATGGTGATTGTTTATGTTGGAGTGTATATATGTTTCAATGGTTTCATATTGATGCTTAATATCTTTTGCCATTGACAAGTTGATGAGACTGCGACAAGCCCTGCCATCAATGAATAAATATATATTTATTGACGTTAACCCTCTCTACTACCAGCACAGGGTGATCTACGTGTTCATCCACTGTATTCATCCGGTCGGGTTGATAGCATGCATTGGTACCGTCTCCCCCCGGATATAAGCGCACCCCTCGGATAAGCGCTAGGCGCTTATAATTGGCATATGGCGTTTATATCCGGTCCTCGATTATAAGCCCACCCCTGAAGGCTTACGTATTATAAGAGCCACCATTTGTATTAGTTTTTATAAAGTTACTGGAATCTCTGTAGAGAAACACACTATTTGAATCCTTTTGAAATTTCGACCCTTCACTTTCGCGCGACTCGCCACTGCCTCACCGTCGCGCAACTCACTGACTGCGCGTCCAGTCAGAATGAGCTGTCATGGGGCGAAATTACTCATTCTGACTGTGTGTGTTGGCAGCTTGCAAACTTACGCGAGATTCTTGTTCACAACCCTCTATAATCTTGACTCGATTGAAATCGCAATGACAAGATGAACACTTTGGAGTGAAAACAACTAGATTTCATATATGTCATTGTATAAGCCCCGGCGCTTATAAATTTACTCGATTATAAGCCCACGCCCCTAAAAAATCATGTTTTATTATACCCCCCCATGGGGGCATATCCGGGGGGTGACGGTACCACAACTCGGGGTGAATGTTGATTGGCGGGCGACAGAGTCTCGTCACTAAGGCGCCTGTTTGTCACTGACTCGTAACTTCTCCCGACCCTTCTCCGTCGTCCTTCTTCTCCTGCTTCAGCTTCAGGAAGTCTCTCTTCAGGTGACCCAGCTGGTTGCATAAAAAGCAGGGCCCTAAGCCTCGGCTCGGAGAATCCACGCCGTTGATTGTGGGCTATTGAGTCAATCCACGAAATTGATTTCCCTTCCGAGAACTCGTTCTCGCCCACTGCATTAGCGCATTCGCTGCTGGGCGGCGTCGTTAGAGTCTCGCGGTCGCGTGTGTCGCACCTCGTACTGCATTCTGTACTTGAGGCCCGCGGCTTCTTTATTGAGTCGCTCCGCATCGCCCATGTCGTCCACTTGGTCGGCCAAGGCGCAGAATGTAGCCGTGTAGTATTGGACCAATTCATCTGCTTCCAGGTACGCAGCATGATGCGACCAGAATCCGAGGCGGATACATGCTCGAATCTGGTTCACAAGGCTAAGCCCAACTACTTCCATGTGCGTATCGTGGCCACTCCGAATATTGATGCTCTGTCAAGAATGAATGTGTGGATTGATTAGGGTTGTGAGTACAAGTAGGAAATCCTAAAGGGTTGTACTCACTAGAGTATGCCCCACTACAGCCTAGAGCATACAATTACAATTTGACACACCCCCATAGGCAAAGTGGGGGATAGTAAACACAACGAACGGTCACAAGACCAGTCAAGCAAGAAAACAAAGCAAAGCAAAGCTCAGGGTGGATATGAAGATCACCACACATTCTGTGCACAAGCAAGCGGCCACAAGGCCAGTTCACATGCAGAGTTTATAATAGCAAGAGCGGTACACTGATCACAACCTAGCAAGTGTAAGCATGCATGTATACTCATATATATCATTGTACAACAAGAGCAAGATTAAGAGACAAGCAAGTGAGGCAGAGTGTGCACAAGCCCAAGAAGAAACGCTGATGATCACTAGACCCAAGGGCCTTGGTGAAGACATCAGCAATGTTGGCCCGTGTGGCCACGTAAGCAAGACGAAGCTGACCACGCTGCTGCAGCTCTCGCGTGAGGAAGTAACGGAGAGCAATATGCTTCGTTCTGTGCTCCAGTCTCTGGTCCTGACACAAGGCAATTATGGCCTTGTTGTCGACGTACAGAACTGGAGGAGAACGAGGCCGCTCACCCAAGTCGGTCAGCAGGTAGGTCAACCAGCGGAGCTCCTGTGCAGCCATAGCCCCAGCGTAGATCTTGGCCTCACAGCTGGAACTAAGTACAGAAGAAGAGCGAGTGGACCTCCACGAGACAGAACCAGCGCCGAGACTGAAATTGTACCCCTGTGTCGACCGGTGAGTCGTCTGGTCATCAGCCCAAGAAGCGTCTGAGTGGCCGGTGAGAACAACTGAACCCGGTCCTCCAAGCACGAGCCCCATGCCCTATGTGCTGTACAAGTAACGCAATACCCTCTTCGCAGCATCCTAGTGCATCTTTCGATGCCTACCGGGAGCCACGTAGCGAGCCAGGAGGCTGAGAGGGTACGCGAGGTCAGGTCGTGTGCACGTCATCAGGTACATGAGGCAACCCACAAGCTCTGGGTACGGACCACTTGGCTCTACGGACTCCTCCAAATGTTGAGCTGAGAGCGAGTGGCTGGTAGACAGAGGAGTGGGCTGTGGCGAGGATCACGTGAAGTCGAAGCGCTGAAGGACCTGCTGCACCATGTGTGCCTGAGTGAGGGTGATGGTACGGCGTGCTCTGTCCCGGGTGATCTGCAAGCCAAGATAGCTCCGCAGCTCACCCAGGTCAGTGCAAGTGTGTCTCTCTTGCAGCTCCGCCTTCACCAAGGCCAGAGCCTCAGTGTCAAAAGTAGCAAAAACCAAGTCGTCAACGTACACGAGAACGTAGAACGGCGGCAGAGAAGTGTCTTTGCGCAGAAACAGCGAAGGGTCAGCAGTCGAGGGAGCGAAGCCAAGATCCGCAAGTGTAGTCCTGAGTGTGTCGTGCCACTCACAGGGCGCCTGTCGTAGGCCGTAGACTGGTCACCGAAGACTCCACTGGGTACCCTCAGGAAACGACCCAGTGAAGCCACGTGGGCGGCGCAACCAGATAGCCTCGTGAAGGCTGCCCTGCAGGAAGGCTGTCGAGGAGTCGAGGGAGTGCAGCTCGTAGTCGCGCTGTGCTGCAACGTGCAGTAGCACCCGAAGAGTGGTCATCTTCGGGGTGGGGGAGAAGGTCTGAAAGAAGTCAACCCCCTCACGCTGACTGAAGCCTCGTGCAACGTAACGCGCCTTGAAGGCAGGCGGAGAACCCGGCGGCCGCTTCACCCTGAAAATCCACATGCCATCGACTATGTTCGCCGCAGGTGGGGGAACCTCGTCAACGTAGGTGCTTGTGGACTTCCTCGAAGCCATCTCTGCGTCCATGGCTATCTGCCACTGAGAGGAGTACGGACCCGTGATCGCCTCTGTGTAAGTGCGCGGGGTCGGGATGTCCAGTGCATCTGGGTGTCCCTCGGGGCAAAGTATCGTGGACGCGAGATGAGGTGCAGCTGCCGCTAGGTATTCCAGCTCAAACTGCCTGTCCTCAAGAACATCACAGCCAAGGGCAAGCTCACCCCCGACGGACGGAGGACAGGAGGAGTCAAAAACAAGACTCGCAGCGTAGTCAAGGCGGCACAAAGCAGCAAAGTCAACAAGCTCAGCAACTACGGCAGACGTAGCAGCAGACTCAAAGGAAGAGTCAATCACAACCGTGGCAAGGAGACAAGTGACAGTCGGACTGGCAGCACGGACAAGGTCTGACTCAGGGTCAGGAACGTGAGGAAGGGAAGACGCAGGAGGAGACGGCAGGACAACACGCTGTGGAACAGAGGAAGGACGAAGTGCCATACGGTGAGTGCCTGGCACGGCGAGCACGAGGACGGACAACACGACGACCGCGAACAGGAGTGGAAGCACGTGTCTTAGGCTCACAACGCTCAGGAGTGGAAGCACGAGTCTCAGGCTCACGACGCGCAGTCAGGGACGCAGTGACCTCAGTGTGAGGAGCAGGAGCAGGCAGCGGGGAACCAGGCAGTAGCTGTGGCTGAGACTGGTCAGTCGGTTGGAACAGTAACGGAGGAGTAGAACCAGGAACCGGGAACTCTGTAGCAGCAGGCGGGAGACTGAGAAGGTGACGAAGCACAGACTGCTGCGGCGGTGTAGTCGCACCCCCAGAACCGCCAGCTCCAGTAGCAACAACACCCCCAGAACCAGCGCCTCCAGCTCCACCACCGGGACTGCCCCAACGAACAGTCCACTCGCGAAGCTGCAGCGGCGAGAGCGACTCCTGCCGACTAGTACCACTAACTCCAGTACCTCCAGCAGTACCTCCAGTAGTACCTCCAGTGCCAGCACCTCCAGCACCTCCAGCAGTCCCTGCACCTCCAGCAGCACCTGTGCCTCTAGTACCAGGAACACCAGCACCAGCACCAGCACCTCCAGGGCTAGTACCTCCAGAACCTGCACCTCCAGCACCTCCAGCAGCACCTGTGCCTCCAGTACCAGGAACACCAGCACTAGCACCTCCAGGGCTAGCACCTCCAGAACCTGCAGCTCCAGCACGTCCACCGCCACCACCAGGACTGCCCGCAGAAGTACCCACAGCAACATCACTTCCAGTACCTCCAGCTCGAGGAGAGCGAGCACGGCTAAGCTCCACCACCAGGGCTGCCCCACTGTACAGCCCACTCGCGAAGCCGCTTCGGCGAGAGAGTCTCCTGCCGACGTGAACCAGTGCCACCAGCACTAGCAACCCCAGTACCACCAGTAGCAGATCCTCCAGCTCCAGCGGTGCCAGCACCTCCAGCTCCAGCAGTCCCAGCACCTCTCACTCTAAGACGGCTAGCTCCACCACCAGGGCTGCCCCACTGGACAGCCCACTCGCGAAGCGGCTCTGGCGAGAGAGCCTCCTGCCGACTTGTAGCTGGACCACCAGCACCAGTACCTACAGGACCTCCTGTACCCAGAGTACACCCAGCACCCCCAGAACCAGCACCCCCAGAA